AAGGCTGAGTTCCAGGGAGAGAGGAGAGAACCAGAAGGGAACTGAAGGAATGAGAGTAACCTTGTGGGTTGGAAGGAAATGACTTGGGCCTTGCAGCTGAACACAAGAAGCTTGAATCTGACATGGCTGGAAGTCCCATCAGTGGGGTGGTTTAATCAGAACCAGCTGCCCAGCTTCAGCCTACCTACCCCAGTCCTCCCCCCGCACAAACCCCCATTCAGAACTGAAACATACCCACTGTGTGGGGCCAGTCAGGCCTAAGCTGAAACCATCCAGATATTCTTCACCTACCAGTTATGTAGCCAAGGGATTTCCATGGCTCTCTATCTGCCTAATGTTAGCGTGCACCTCAGGCCAGTCCTCGGGGGGAGATCTGCTGTTATCCGTGTCCCTGTCCTCTGCTAAGGGAAAATCTTCACTTGCTTATCTACAGGGTGTTTTATTAAATAACCATCACATAATGCCAGGGCATTTGTGTCTCTCTGGGAGACTCTGTCAGAACAGCTGTTGTCTAATGAGGATTTTGAAAGGTGTTGCATTAGAAAAGAGTTGGAGCCCATGATCTTTTCTGCCTGTGTCAAAAAAAGAACAAGGATCTCTGTTCTGGGTTGTGCAAGGGTGTTTGGGGGTCTCCACTGGAGCTCATCTGAGACGGGGCTGCACGGTCAGCTCTTCGTGGCTTGGAAACCATTCTCTGCAGAGGTTTGGTTTATCAGCGGGCGTAAGTTAGATTAGCTCTGTTGGCTTCAATGGGGGAAGCGATGCTGGCTGAGAGATGCGACCCCTTTCCTCTGCCCAGCCACAGCCCAGCTGTGCGATGCACAGAAAATGCCACATGTGAGCAAAGCGCTTTCAGCCTGCATGTGGGCAGCGCCGGGCTTCACCCCCTTGACATTTGCTGGCATTGAGGGGGACGGGCCGTGGCTTTGCTGCCAGACACTTTCAGCGTGCTGCATTTTCCCCCGGATCCCACTTCTTGCCTCTCCCAGCGCTGCACGCTGCGCTCACTAGGACCACACTGCTTGCACACTGCCCCCTCGACTGCCTGCTCTGCTCTAGGAGCCACAGCAGGGATTTGGAGGCACGTGCAGCATTTGGAGTCTGTGGTTTTAGGGGAGCTTTTTGCTTCCCCTTCTTCAGCATGCACAAGTCTGCGTACACAAACACACAGTCTCTTCTTTCCCTCCCTCCTGTTCTGTGCCTTGCTCTCTCTCTCTCTCTCACTCACACACACACACACACACACGCGCGCCAGTCTGTTGGCACAGGCTGGCTCCCCTCTTGCACCAATACTATCCCACCCCCACTCTCTGCTCTCACCTGCTGCCCTGGTGCACTGTTCACACCAACACACACCCCGTTCCTCTGTGCATGCACTGTTCCTGTGGGCACGAGCACACGCACACACAGTGTCTCTCCTGCCCACTAGCCCCACCGTTCTCTCGCATACACTTCACACACGCACACTTTGCACACACGCGCAAATGCCCAAATGCCTGCCCTATCCCCACCCCGCTTCTCTCAGCCCTGTCCTGCTCACACCCCGGCTGGCCCCCCCCGCCCCGCTCCGTCTGCAGTCCCCTCACCCTGGCGCTCTCCACGCACGCTTCTGTCCACCCCCCGCGCGTGGGCTCTGCCGGCCCTTGCACATCCCCGGGCACGCGGGCACAGGTCAGGTTGGACAGCGACAGCGGGGTCTCCGTCCTTGGCCACGCTGAAGACCAAGCCGTGAGTGGGACACGCGGGGCCTGGCCCCCCTCCGGCGCGGCGCGGCGCGGCGCGGCGCGTACCTGACGATGCCATACATGACCAGGACGTTGCCCAGCAGCCCCACCACGCACACCACGGAGTAGAGGGCGGTGATGGCGATGGCCATGATGATGGAGGTGGCGTTCTTGGCCGGGGTGCCCTGGGTGCCATTGGAGCCCTGGCTGGGGAAGGGGAAGGGGTCTTGCTCCGTGCCGTTGGGGCGCTCAGCA